AGAGAGAAAGGCAAAGAGAGAGAGAGAGAGAGAGAGAGAGAGAGAGAGAGAGGAAGAAAGAAAGAAAGAAAGAAAGCTTATGAAAACATCAACAAACAAGTTGGAGTTTAATAATAAATCCAGGCATGATATAGGCTTAATTTTAAATATTTGCATACACTATTCTGGACTATAAATGCACTTATGCAAGCACAATACAAAGTAACAATACAAATTCCCATTTTGCCATTTTATTAGAAATGCATGACTAGAAATATGATTAGGAATTCCATTGTTTCGTGCTTGAGTTTTTGGGGTTTTCATAACGTAAAAAGTGTTTATATTTATGATAATATAATAATCAGGAAACTAGATCAAATAAACCATATGTAAGCTTATGCTTATAGGAATTTTTATTTTTATTTTGAGACTAGACTAAAATAAAATAAAAAAGGGGGGGGGGGGCAGGGACTAAGATTTCTTTAAAAAAAAATTAAGAGTGTTCTAGAATGCACACTATATACATTTTAGTAAGTATCCCACAATGCAATGTTTCTGACTTTATTTGTTATTTGCAATGTGGCAAATGAATCATAAGCAATATCTGTTGTAATGTTTATTTTATCTGTCTGTGATGTTCCTGTGATAGCGCCCTCCAGTGGATGAGTAACTGTGTCAACGTCTGGATTCATACATGTGTACTGTACGAATGTCCAGCTGAGGTGATTAATCAGTGAGAGATATGCATGTGTGTCTTCTGCTAAATTAATTGTCATAAATCTGCATGAGAGTTTAAGAAAGGTTTTGTGGGAAAGTGTGCAGAGAGAGAGTTTTCTCATGGGACTGAGAGAGAGATTGAAAGTGGACAGAAATGAATTGCTCAAGTCACTTGCTTTAGGAGCCTCTTTTAGCCCAAGGAGCGTGAACTGTGCCTAAAACGCACACACACACACACACACACAATAAGGCAATAAACTACTGTATTCAGGACTGAATGCACCAAACAGCTAAATGGTTCCCACAGTGGCCAATAAAACATTCACACACAGGTAGAGTCTGCAGCGTCTGAATGAATGATGAATAATGTGAACAGGTGGAAAGAAACAAAAAATGTTACTATGTGTAAGTTGTTGTTTTTTAGCATGTGTGTTTGGCAGTGTTATTTTTTAGGATTACTGATAAACTACTGTCATTTGATTTGTATTATTTGTATTTGTTATTTATTTTAATCTTAGTTAAATTATGTCTGAATTTATTATGTCTGTATAGGTATTTTATTAAGTTTTTAGTTTTATTTAATTTGAGTTATTTTAATACTTCAACAAACTAAATGAAAATGAAATAATATATATAT